CTTTGAATTCACGAGGAACGTTATTGAGAGTCACCCACTCCGGCATGGTCCCGAATATAATCAACTGCAAGGCTCTGCTAGCACATGACCACCCTCTCAAAGAAGCACCCGGCCGAATCACCTTCCTTGCAATTCACTTCTGCGCGAAGCATAATTCCTGAGTCTTCCCAAAGCCTGAACATGAATCGATGATGCCAATTATAGAATACATTCTTCAATTCCTTTGCATCAAATTACTAATGATGTTCTCTTTCCTTAGCCGTAACAACTTACCAATACGCTGATAACCTGAAACCTCACAAGAAAATAGTCATACAACCCCATCGTAGGCAGTGGAACTCTCCCACTTAGCTTGAAGCCACCATTACACAACCTTGGAACCCACCAATATCCTTTATCTCTTATCGACACGACCTTGCGCAATCAAACCGCCACATTCCTCGAAATCCTTCCTTTAGCATTTCATGAACATTATGAATCTCTAGCAACATTCATATATTAGACCTCTTACTGGATAGTTAATAAAATCTTTCGCCGAAGCTTTGCCAGCCACGCGACCGCTGATCTGCTCATAGGAGACATCCCCAAATGTGGAGACTACGCGCCGACATCTTCCAACGTCGCTGCACGGGGTACAATTACTACGACATCAATAACCCAACCTGAGCCCATGCTCATCCACTAGCTGCACAAGTCCATTCACTCCTCGTGGACATTAACTAAATGTGTGACCATATCTTCCAATTCGCAGTTATGTTTTATCCTTCTTCATATCAAGCAGTTCCTTTCCGTCATATCAGATCTCCCGCCGTTATGCTGGCCAATATTTCAAATTAAGCTCGTAGACCCAATCATCGTCTACTAAAATTTCCCAAATAACTCCAAACTTTCCTCAAGGGTGTAGTTATCCTGCCACTGCATCCATGTGCTACTCTACCACTCTTCCACTTTGGGCAAACTCACTTCTTTAAGAAATTACTCGACCTCCACTTCTTACACCTGGCCTTCTAGAAGTTTAACCACCGCATGACACCTTCCGCATGTCCTTCATCATCCTTCACCGCTCCGTTGTTGCCTTAGATCAAAAATCTAACTCAGTAGCTCTTGAGCCAATAGATTGCCACTAACTTTAAACCTCTCTGGAGATCATCTCTTCTCGAGCCATCGACATTATAACCATCGATTCAATCCTGAACCACCACCCCCACGATCTCTAACAGCCGCTTCTCCGATCCTATCTTACATATCCTGCCCCAAATGCGAATTGTAGAAGGTCTTAACACCGGCGAACTTAGTACATTCAACAAGGACAACGACGCCTCATCAAAGATGAAAATTCCACCATGCTCATAAATACCAAGCCTCATTACTCCATCAACCCAAATCTGAACATCCTTAGCCCAATTGCCTTTCCCCCGACGGGAATAAAATACCGAATCTCTAAATCGTGCACTGAGTAAACCTCCCTTCAAGTCATTCACTGCCACAACACGTAGGAAAGTATCCTACCATCACATCAATACTGCGCGACAATCGTTCATAAGCATCATGGAAACTTGTGCCTAGCCTCAAAGCTCTCAGAAGTACAGCTACTAAGCTGAAACGACAGAATATCCTTCCACAAGGCGACGACAATAGTCAAATCAGCTATGCGGGGAGAAGCATCCAGCACCACCTCTGTAGTACCTTTAAAATTTCTCAATTCTTGATTTATAATACGCGTTTCACGTCGCATAAGATTGAATAGGAAGGAAATAAAGGCATAATCCTCAAAGGAATCAAATCGCATGATGAGGAATCAAGAAGGGAAGTACTCCTAACAGCCTTATAGCCTTCCGAAGATAAGTACAGACATCTCCGTACCTATCCGCGAGACTCTACTAGACTTGATCATGACTCGTGAGACCTAAGGGAACCTTGTGCTCTGATACCATGTTGTCACGACCCAAAATCCACTAAGGGTCGTGATGGCGCCGAACACCACTGTCAGGCAAGCCAACACCAATTTCCTTGAAATTTCTTGTTTTAACATTTTCAAAATTGTTCCTTTTTGTACATTAAACAATAAGTAATAAGTTTTACTGAATAGATACTGATGTCTTTAACAACTCAATATTAAACAATCCCATAATCATCCCAGAACCCGGTGTCATAAGTGCATGAGATATCTCTAGGAAACAAAATAATACAACAACTGTCCGGGGATACAAATAGGACAGATAATAAATATGGAAATCTGAAAGAGACTCTGCTGGATGCAGGTCGTCTCTAGAAGTGCAGCTCACTTAAGTCTCCGTATCAACCATGCTGCTACGCCCACTAGGCCACTAGAGATGCAGGTGCCTGTGCAACAAAAATGCACAGCAAGTGTAGCATGAGTACGAAATCAACATGTACTCAGTAAGTATCCCGCCTATTCTCGAAGAAGTAGAGACGAGAGGTTGACTTCGACACTTACTAGTGGTCCAATGATGATACATCAATAATATAACAAGTCGAGGGTTTATATAAACATGAATGTAATTCAATAGAGTGAAGCAAGTAAACAAGTCCTTCTTTTATATGAAAATTTCCAATTTCCTTTTTCATCATTTCTACATATATTCTTAAGACGGGAAGAAGCAATATTGACTTCAGTAAATCACAAGCCAAGCAATACAAGCATGCACAAGCCAGCCGAGGACGTACGGCCCGATCCAACAATATTTAATCTGTGCACTGCCAGATGGTCGAATGGAGTGAACCATAGATGCATCTATTACCCCGCTCGCGAATCATACATGCAACGCGGCCAAATTTAAATAAACAATCACCCTGCTCGCGAATCATACATGCGACGCGGGTACACATAGAAACGCATATTCAAACAGTTAATCAAGACATTCATCAAGGAAACAATTATTCAAGGAGCTGTAAATTTCCCTTTTTACAAGTCATGCAAATGATGTTCAATTCTTTTAGATAATCATTTTCAACTTCGATATGATTTAAGCAATTTAAACTATCAATAAGGTTGCATTTATTACAAGTAAGCATGTTTTTGGATCCTAGACTACCCGGACATAAGCATAATAGTAGCTGCGCACGGACTCTCGTCACCTCATGCGTACGTAGCCCCCACAAATAGGAGCACATAACCAATTAACTCACCTATGGGGACAATTCCCTCTTACAAGGTTAGAAAGGAGACTCACCTCGCTCCGAAGTTCCATAACCGACATTTCACGCCCTTCCAAAGACTTAAATTGATGCACAACGTTCCAAAACTAGCCAATAATTATGCAAACCCATTAGTATATGTTCAATTACTCGTAATAATCCACTTTATACAATTCTACCCCGATCGAAAGTTGGCAAAACGNTCGGGCCCACGTGCCCGGATTCCAAAAATTTTCGAAGATAAAGTTTACCCATAACCTCACGAACTCAAATATATAATTTACTCTCAATTTCATGTCCAAAATCGTGGTCAAAATCCAAGAATACGAATTTTCTAGGTTTCCCTCTAACCCCAAGATTCTACCCATTTTCATGCTCAAATCCATATATAATCAAGGTATTTAACTCACAAGGGGTGGAATTAACTTACATCACGTTTGATGATGAAATACCTCTCTTGAAGCTCTCCAAAAATTGCCTTAACAAGAGAAAAATGGAAGGAAATGAACCAAATCTCTATTTTTTATAAGATCCTCTTCTGCCTAGCGACCTTCGCACCTGCGGTCACTCAACCGCTTCTGCAGTTCCGCAGGTGCGGTTAAAATTCCACTTTTGCGGGAAACCTCCAGCTGCCCCAGTCCGCTTCTGCGCCGCCCCAACCGCATCTGCGATCTCGCAGCTGCGGAAAATCCTTCACTCCTGCGGCCTTTGACCCCTTCACTTCTAGCCGCTTCTACGGTTCCTTTCCTCGCTTCTGCGGGGCCTCTTCTGCGGTGAAGCCTCCGCAAGAGCAGTTACACCAGCAACCAGACCCCCTTCAGCTCATCCTTTAAGTCCCAATCGATCCGTTAACCACCCGGAATCCACCTGAGGCCCCCCGGGGCCCCGTCCAATCACACCAATTAGTCCCAAAACTCATTACGGACTTGCTCAAGGCCTCAAATCACATCAAACAATGCTAAAATCATGAATCGATCTCCAATCCAAGCTTAATGAACATTAGAATTTCAAACTTCTACATTCGATGCTGAAACCTATCAAATGACGTCCGATTGACCTCAAATTTTGCACATAAGTCACATTCAACATTACGGACCTACTCCGACTTTCGGAATTGGAATCCGACCCCGATATCAAAAAGTCCACTTCCGGTCAAACTTCTCAAAAACCTTCAGATTTCTATCTTTAGCCAAATGACTCCAAAATGACCCACGGACCTCCGAATTCACTTCCGATCGCGCTCCCAACACCAGAATCACCATACGGAACTATTCCCATACTTGGAATCCCAAACGGACATTGATAACACTGAAATGCACTTCAACCCAAGCTTATGAAATTCCTCCAAAATGCTAACTTCCACAGTAGGTGCCGAAACGTTTCTGGGTCTTCCAAAACCCAATCCGAACATACGCCCAAGTTCGAAATCATCATACGAACCTGCCGGAACCTTCGAGTCCCGATTCCGAGTTCGTTTACTCAAATATCCAGTCTTAGTCAATTCTTTCAACTTAAAGCTTCCGAAATGAGAATTCTCTTTCCAAATCAACTCCGAACTTCCCGGAATTCAATTTTGACCATGCATACAAGTCATAATACCTGAAATGAAGCTACTCATGGCCTTAAACTGCTGAATGACACGCTAGAGCTCCAAACGACCGGTCGGGTTGTTACACCAAGATCCTGATATTTTATATATTTTTTATCACGGTCTTAAACCCTCTGCTAGAAATGTTATTGATGCTGCATCAGGATGATCCATAATGAGAAAAACCACTACAGAAGCCATGCAATTGCTCAATGAAATTTTAAAAAATGTCGTTCAATGGCCCTCTGACAGAATGACTGTTAAGAAAGCAGCAGGAGTCAATCAGGTTGAAGCTTGGAATTCATTAGCGCAACAAATTGCAACTCTGACACAAAAAGTTGAGGACTTTCAGGTAAATACTCAATCATCATCTCAACATGAGAATTGTGACGTTTGTGGAGGTAATCATCCCAATCATGAGTGTCAAGCTTTAATACAAAATGAAGAACAAGTAAATATTATTAGTTATAGAACCAGTTATCCATCTGGTTGTCCTATGGCACAAAAACATTCGAGATCCCAATGGAGTAACCCAAATGGTGCTGAAAATCCTCAAAGATTTTTTAATCAAAAGCAGCAGGTACAGGGACCACCTGGTTTTCAAAATCAAAATAAAGGGCAACAAGATTTCCAGAAATATCAACAACCGCCCCAAAGATCTCATCAGCAAAGCCTCGAAGACATGATGTACAAGTTCATTAAGGCTACCGAAGATAAGGTTGAAAGTCAGAGTTCAGCCATCAAGAATTCAGAAATCCAGATGATCCAATTAGCAACCCTCATGTCTGAACAAATAAAAGGTGATCTACCAAGCAACACCGAGAAAAATCCAAAGGAACACCTCAAAGCCATCTCTCTGCGGTCAGGTAAAACTCTTAATGATCCATATGTAGATAGACTAGGAAAGCCACAAGAAGTGGAACAGGTAAATGAAGGTGAGAATAAAAGAGACTCTACACTTCTAAAAGAACACAAAGATAAAGGAAGAAAGGTACAAGAAAATCAATTGATGACAAATCCTCACTCTGTACCCCTCCCTTTTCCCCAAAAAATGAAAAGAGAAAATCTTGACAAACAGTTTTCAAAGTTTCTAGATATTTTAAAGCAACTTTATATTAACATACCTTTCACAGACGCTTTGACACAAATGCCCTCATATGCTAAATTTCTCAAACAAATTTTGTCAAGTAAAAGAAAATTGGAAGAAGTTTCAGTGGTTAAGCTTACAGAGAAATATAGTGCTATACTTCAAAATAAGCTTCCACAGACACTTGGTGATCCAGGGAGTTTTACAATTCCTTGTACTTTGGGAGGTGCTCACTTTGAAAAGGCATTATGTGATTCAGGTGCTTCAATAAATCTAATGCCTTTCTCAATTTTCAGGAAATTAGAACTTGGTGAAATGAAAGATACTTGTGTGTCTCTTCAATTAGTTGATCAAAGTACTAAAAGGCCCAAAGGAATAATTGAAAATGTCCTCGTTAGAGTAGATAAATTTGTATTCCCAGTAGAATTTATGGTACTTGAAATGGAAGAAAATACTGAGGTACCATTAATTTTAGGTAGACCATTTCTCGCAAAAGGAAGAGCGATCATTGATGTTCATCAAGGACAATTAATATTGCGAGTTGATGAGGAGAGAGTACTTTTTGATATGCAGAAAATGATAAAATTTCCTGGGAATGAGTCATCATCATCTTTTTTTCAAATTTACTATATGACCTTGTAGATGAATTCAAGGATAATCAATTAATTACTAATTCATTGGAAAGATGTTTGGTCAGGTCAGGTACCACAAGTGATGAAAATCCCACAAGCAGAGAAGAAGCTGAAATACTAGAAAAAGAATCAGAAAATGAGAAAGTCTCACAAGAAGAAGTTCAATCAAAAAATGAACTCAAAAATCTTCCCTCTCATTTAAAATATGTTTTTCTTGAACCTGAATTATTTCCAATAATCATTTCATCTTCTTTGACTCCAGAACAGGAAAACAAACTGATACAAGTCTTGAGGGAACATAAAAGAGCTTTAGGGTGGACTATAGATGACATCAAAGGAATCAATCCAGCTATTTGTGTGTATAGAATCCTCATGGAAGAAAATTACAAACCTATAGTCCAACCCCAAAGGAGACTGAATCCAGCAATGCAAGAAGTTGTCAAGAAATAAGTGGTGAAACTTCTAGCGGGAGGTATCATTTATCCAATATCTGATAGCCCTTGGGTAAGTCCTATACAGGTAGTACCAAAGAAAGGAGGTATGATCATAATAAAAAAACGAAAATAATGAACTTATACCTACTAGAATAGTCAGGGGATGGAGAGTCTGTATTGATTATAGATGACTTAATGATGCCACGAGGAAAGATCATTTTCCTTTGCCTTTTATTGACCAAATGCTTGAAAGAATTGCAGGCCATAGTTTTTATTGTTTTCTTGACGGATATTCTGGGTATAATCAGATACCAATTGCTCCAGAAGATCAGGAGAAAACCACATTCACATGCCCCCAAGGTACGTATGCTTACAAAAGAATGCCATTTAGACTATGTAACTGTCATGACCCCAGTTCGCCCTCCGTGAAGTATCGTGATGGCACCTAGTCTCTACGATAAAGTAAGCCTAACAAATGCGGAAACAACTAATCTTGCGGAATAAATAATCAAAAGTCGAATAACTGAAAGAAATAGTATTTAAAATGCTGCTCGGCATATACACACAACTTTTCAAAATCTGATACACTATCCCAAAACCCGGAAACTCACAGATCAACAAGTTGAGAAAACACTACATAGCTCTAATCTCCGGAATGTCTAACAAGAACAAAAAGTACAGAAGGGCTAAATACTAAATACAGGAATAGAAAGAGACTCCTTGGTCTACGGGCACGGCAGATATACCTCGAAGTCCCGTAGAATCGCCTCGCCTCAAGAATGGTAAGCCTGAGTAGAGGTACCTAGATCTGCACATGAAAAACATGCGTAGGAAGGGCATGAGTACACCACAGCGGTACTCAATAAGTGCCAAGCCTAACCTCGGTTGGGTAGTGACGAGGAAGGTCAGGGCCCTACTGACGTTAAATAAGATATAAGGTTTAAAAGTGTGAAATAAACAGTGTAAATAAGTAACACAAGATATAAAGGACAGCAACAACTATCACAGAGGCAGGTAAAACACAGTAACAAATACAGCTCAGCTGCAAGATAACGACCGGGGATCTCCCAGGATACCGTCCTGTAGCCCCAAATATAAATATCATATCCAGTGGATCTCCCAGGTGCAGTCCCGTAGTCCAACTCATAAATGTGCAGGGGGATCTCCCGAAATGCAATTCTGTAGTCCCAAAGTAAACATATAGGGGAACTCCCGAGATACCGTCCCGTAGTCCCAAAGTAAACACACAGGGGAGCTCCCGGATACCGTCCCGTAGTCCCAAAGTAAATACGCAACAACAACAAGAATTCAATCCAATCAATTGCATATCAAGGTGAAGCAGGTAATCCTAACCTAGCATGGTTCACATAATACAAATAAGGCAGTTAAGGCGAATAGAGCAATTTAGTCAAGTAGACAAGCTTCTCTAGGCTACAGCAGGTTTAGTTTCCAAACAGTGTAAGCAAGAAAAGAAAGAACACAATCCAAGGCTATTTTTAATGAAAAACCGGATTTCCAACAATTAGCACAAGTACGCGCTCGTCACCTCACGTACGAGGCATTTCAATTACCACAATATCAATCCTAAGGGGAAAAGGTCCCCCACACAAGGTTAGACAAGCCACTTACCTCGAACAGGTGCAAGTCAACCCGAAACCACGCCTTTGCCACGAGTATCTGACTCCAAATGGCCCACATCTATTCAATAAAATTACATATTGTAAATAACACCTCAAGTAACTGATTCTATAATTAAATTCTAAGCTAATACGCGAAATTAGGTGAAATGACCAAAATGCCCCTCAGGCCCACGTCTCGAAATCGGATAAAATTTATATTTCCAGAAACCTCGTACTCTCACGAGTCTAAACATAACAAGAACACTGAAATCGGAGTCCAAATGACCCCTCAAATCCTCATTTAAAGACCTCTTAAACTCAAGCCCTAATTACCCATTTTTCCCAAATTTCTCATCACTAATTAGGTCTTTAATCACATAAAAACGAGTTATGAAGTCAAGGACGTTACCTCCAAGCGATTCCCCTTTGTTTTCTCAAAAATCTCTCTCAAAAGCTTCAAACCCGGATGAAAATGGTGAAAGAATGGCTCAATTTCGCAATGGCAAGTATTTATGTGTTCTGCCCAGCGATTCCCGCATTTGCGGCCCTGGGACCGCATCTGCGGTCCCGCTTTTGCGGAAACTACGTCGCATCTGCAACTTTCCTTTGAATGACCAGAAACCGCATCTGCGATTGGCCTTCCGCAGATGCGCCACCGCTTCTGCGGTATTCCTTCTGCATCTGCGGAACCTGAAGGAAAGACCAAAAATCCGCTTCTACGATCTTCTTAGCCGCTCCTGCGGTGCCGCATCTGCTGTTCCCAAACCGTAGATGCAAAAATACCAGAAGCAGCAAAAATACAGCAGCTGCAACATTTTCTAACTTTCACGCCAACCATCCGAAATCATCCCAAGGCCCCCGGGACCTCAACCAAAGGCACCAACAAGTCTAATACCACTCCCCAAACTTGTAGCAATCCTTAAAACAACTAAAACAACATCGAAACCTCAAATTAACCATGGATTCAAGCCTAAGAACTCCAAATTTCTCAAAATACGCTTCCGATCAAAATGTCTATCAAACCTCGTCCGAATGACTTGAAATTTTGCACACACGTCCCAAATGACATAACGGAACTACAGCAACTCTCGAAATTCCGTTCCGACCCTTGGATCAAGAACTCACTATCGAATCGAAAACTTCAAAATTCGACCTTTCGGCATTTCAAGCCTAAATTAGCTACGGACCTCCAAAACATAATCCGACCACGCCCCTAAACCCGAAATCACCTAACGGAGTTAACGAAACCATCGGATTTCCATTCTGAGGACGTCTTCACACTGTTCCGACTACGGTCATCTTTCCAACACTTAAGCTCTCATTTAGGGACTAAGTGTCCCAAAACTTTCCGGAGTTCAAAACCGAACGTCCCGGCAAATCAAAATAGCAGAAATAAACTTGGGGGAAGCAGTTAATACGGGATCGGGGCGTAAATTCCAAAAATGACCGGACGGGTCGTTACATCCTCCCACACTTAAACATTCATTCGTCATCGAACGAGCACAAAGACATACCTGAAGTAGTGAAAAGATGAGGGTACTGGTTGCGCATATCCTGCTCGGTCTCCCAGGTCGCCTCCTCGACCGGCTGACCCCGCCACTGAACCTTCACTGATGCAATGTTCTTTGACCTCGGCTTCCTGACCTGCCTGTCCAATATTGCCACTGGCTCATTTACCTAAGATAGATCCTTCTCCAACTGGACTGAGCTGAAATCCAACACGTGCGACGCATCGCCGTGATACCTCCGGAGCATCGAAACATGAAATACCGGATGAACTCCTGCCAAGATGGAGGTAAGGCAATCTCGTAAGCAACCTCCCCAACACGCCTCAATATCTCAAAAGGGCCAATAAACCTCGTAATCAACTTCCCCTTCTTCCCAAATCTCATAACGCCCTTCATAGGCAAAACCCGAAGCAAAACCCGCTCTCCAACCATATAGGAAACAACACGAACCTTTCGGTCCGCGTAACTCTTCTGTGCCCAATAATCTAGCCTCACCTGACTCGAACCAACCCACCGGAGATCTACATCGCCTACCATATAAGCCTCGTACGGTGCCATCTAAATGCTGGATTGATAGCTGTTGTTGTAGGCAAACTCTGCCAATGGCAAGAACTGATCCCAAGAACCTCCAAACTCAATCAAACATGCACGGAGCATATCCTCAAGAATCTAAATAGTGCACTCGGACTGTCCGTCCGTCTGAGGGTGAAATGTTGTGCTCAACTCCACCCGAGTACCCAACTCCTGCTGTACGGCTCTCAAGAACCGCGATGTGAACTGAGTACCTCTATCTGAAATGATGGAAGCTGGAATACCATTCTCCCGGATATAAATCTCCGCCAACCGCTCCGAGGAATAGGTAGTACACACAGGGATGAAATGTGCGGACTTGGTCAGTCGATCCACAATAACCCAAATGGTATCGAACTTCTTCAAAGTCTGTGGGAGCCCAAATACAAAGTCCATGGTGATCCGCTCCCACTTCCACTCCGAAATCTCTATCTGCTGAAGCAATCCACCCAGTCTCTGGTGCTCATACTTCACCTGCTGACAATTAAGGCACCGAGATACAAACCCAACTATATCTTTCTTCATTCGCCTCCACCAGTAGTGCTGCCTCAAATCCTGATACATCTTCGCGGCACCCGGATGAATGGAATACCGCGAACTATGGGCCTCCTCTGGAATCAACTCCCGAAGCCCATCAACATTGGGTACACATACTCGACCCTGCATCCTCAATACCCCGTCAGCAGCTAATGTCACATCTCGAGCATCGCCATAGGACACTTTGTCCTTGAGGACAAGCAAATGAGGGTCATCAAATTGACGCTCCCGGATACGGTCAAACAAAGAAGACCGAGAGACCACACAAGCTAGAACCCGACTGGGCTCCGAAAGATCCAATCTCACAAACTGGCTGGCTAAGGCCTGAACATACTTCACCAT